TTTTTCCTGTTTCCTAGCACTTCTTGACATGTTGACTGGACTGTTTCTTTCATGCTTTGCCACTTTCCTTCGGTGGTTTCATCTTCAAGTATTTCTTGTAGGACTTGGAACTTATTGAATAGTGAGATTCTGAATTCTTCCTTTTTGGCTTTTTCCTAGAAAAAAAACCGCACTCCTCTATTCCTACTGACACTATCATCAGATTGGCTGAACTGATACTTGAACTTAACTCCTTTGAATTTAATGGCCATTTCTTTGACCAAATTAGTGGTGTAGCCATGGGCACCAAAATGGGCCCCAGCTATGCTTGCCTATTCATGGGTCATTTTGAATATATGGCAGAGAGGGCATATACTGGCCATATTCCTGAATTTTATAGGAGATACATAGATGACGGCATAGGCATCACAAGCATGGAAACTAATGATCTCCAGAAATTTATAGATTTTTTAAACTCATTTCACCCATCAATAAAATTTACTTCTCAAATCTCTGGACATTCTGTCAACTTCCTTGATATCACCGTAACTTTGAAAGAAAACGTATTGATTACATCTGCCTACTACAAACCTACTGACAGCCATAGTTACCTATTGTACTCATCCTCCCACCCTAAATCATGCAAAGACTCCATACCTTTCTCACAACTTCTTAGACTACGGCGTCTCTGCCAAATTGATGAGGAATTTCTAGAAAGAGCCGATGAAATGATGGATTTCTTCCGCTCCAGATCCTATCCTGAAACTACTCTGGTCTCAGCACTAGATCGCATCAGCACGATCACACGAAAAGAGGCTTTTAAAACTCGCCCTAACAACAATGAGGATCGTACCAAACTTATACTAACCTACCACCCTCACAATTTAACTGCCAAAAAAATATTCCTAAAAAATCGTAGCATACTTCTTGCTGACCCTGATACCAACAGGGTTTTCTCATCCCCTCCACTGATTGTCTTTAGACGGGACAGAAATCTAGGTGATCTTCTGGTTCATAGTCGCCTTCGATCTGAACCGTCTTACGTTGGTACTAAACCATGCTTAAGAGGCCGCTGCAGAACTTGTCCCTTTACACTCCAAACTGATAGCATTGGCCTCCCTAAAGGTACTTTTACCATTAAAGAGGGTTTCACCTGTGTCAGCAGAAATGTAATATATGCGATTGTTTGCCGTAGATGCCAATCAAGTTACATAGGGGAAACTGGGAGAAGATTGGCTGATAGGTTTACTGAACATCTAAGGGATATTGAGCAATGTAAACCTTCCCCGGTCTCTTCTCATTTCAACCAAAAAGAACATAAAGGTGCTTTGGATGTAACCATTACGGCATTGATTTCATGCAGTAACACACCAGATAGGGTTAAAATGGAAAATAAATTTATTCAGCTGTTTGGCACCATATCTCCATATGGTATTAATCAAATAATATCCTACTGATGTTTCTCCGTTTCCCTATATTTCATCTATTTTCTTATTGCTGTTTGTTGATGTATCCCTGGATATTCTGGTCCATTATTATTGTGGACTTTATTTTTCACAGTGTCAATATTTATATTCTCTCGCTTCCTGTTTTCCCACTTCCGGAGAGACGAATGAATACTGCTTGAGTTTTCTACTGTGTTCTTTTCTTTGTTGTATTTTCATTTCTATTGTTGGCTGATGAAGGCTTTATGCCGAAACGTCCTTGTTTTTTGTCCTGTTACCTTATTTCAAGCTTCCACATACCTCGTTTCACTATTTCATTCTTTTACATAGCTTGAAAGCAGTCCCTTCATTTATTTATTCCTTCAGGAGGGAGGTATTATACCGAGTCCTGTATGCTGTTTGCTCGGTATAATGTCTCTTTAGTTTTAATTTCATCCTGGCCACAAGAAGATGATGATCTGAGGCAATATCAGCTCCCCTCTTAACATGTACGTCTTGGAGAGATCGCCTGAATTTTTTACAAATACATACATGGTCTATTTGGTTCATCGTTCTCATGTCCGGAGAGACCCATGTAGCTTTGTGAATCCTCTTGTGCTGGAAAATGCTCCCTCCTATGACCAGGTCAGCTGTGGCACATAGGTCCGCAAACCTCTCACCATTGTCGTTCATCTCGCCTATCCCTTGCTGTCCCATAACCTCTTCGTACCCTGTGTTGCTATTGCCGATCTTGGCATTAAAGTCTCCCATGAGGATGACGATGTTCCTCCGTGGGCGATTCTGGACTATGGTCATTACTCTATTGTAGAATTCTTCTTTGTCTCCTTCATCACTTTCATTAGTTGGTGCGTAGCATTGTATAACATCTAGGTTAATGCTACGTTTCTTTGTTCGAAAGGTTACTAAAAGAATTCTAGGTCCATGGGCCTCCCATCCAATGAGTGCTCCTTGTGCTGCCCTTGATAGCATCATAGCAACACCCAGGGTATGTGGGGAATTGTCTTCTTCGTGTCCCGAAAATATCACCATCTCTCCTGAGATTAATCTCTTCTGTCCCCATCCAGTCCATCTTGCTTCACTAATTCCGAGAATGGTGAGCTTATAGCTCCTCATCTCAGCGGCTATTTGTGCCGCTTTACCAGCCTCGTACATGGTGCGAACATTCCAAGCGCCAATGACGGTGGTAGTCCTGGTAGAGATGATGGTTGTCGGCTTAATAGCTTCCAGGTTTTGGCTTTCACTATTAGGCGTCATATTTTCCTCCTCAAGGAATCCATCCTCTCCCAGGACTGAAATGTCTTTTGTTACTCTTTTCGGTGCTTTTGTAACTATGATTTTTTACATGGCAGGGTTGTTGGCCTTGCGCACAACCACTTGGGGGGTTGCCCCTCAAACATTCCAAGCGCCAATGACGGTGGTAGTCCTGGTAGAGATGATGGTTGTCGGCTTAATAGCTTCCAGGTTTTGGCTTTCACTATTAGGCGTCATATTTTCCTCCTCAAGGAATCCATCCTCTCCCAGGACTGAAATGTCTTTTGTTACTCTTTTCGGTGCTTTTGTAACTATGATTTTTTACATGGCAGGGTTGTTGGCCTTGCGCACAACCACTTGGGGGGTTGCCCCTCACAGCTCAATGGGTAGCTGCCTTTGTTCGGGTTAGGTCCCTAGCCTTTGTGGATCCCTCCACTTCCTACAAGGCAGTAGGGCTGATTTTGGTCCGCCCCGGGTATTTTATTTCCCCGGTACCCTCCATATCTGGCGGGCTTTCCCCTATCCGCCGGCTGGGGAGGCGCTCGATAGAAGATCAGCATCTCCCACGAGTATAGCTAATTTGACTCATTCATAATTTTTGTGTGGAAAATATAAGTTTAAAAAAAAGAAAATACCAATGTTAGATTAAGGCATAATTAACAACATATCCAAAATTCGTGAGGTTAGGACCAGTGCATGGGTGAGAAATTTTTGTCACATGTGTCCCAAAATTACCTATTATGGATAATGAACGTTTTTTGTAGTAAGTAGCTTGATTTACACTGGAAATCCAGCATATTACCCACTATTAATATTTTAAATCAAAGCAACAATTTAATAGCTCTAATTACTTTTATCTGATGCTTTTATTTTGAGTGGGGAAGTGGGATAAATAGCCCTATCCTTATTGTATGATAACTAATAGTATAAATAATTAAATAAATATATATATTTATATATATATCCATCCATCCTATAAGCCTAGTATAGTATAGCATATAGTAGCCTATAGGTCTAGTACCATCTCAACTTATTATTGCAAGACCTATTAATAAACAATTAACTATTATAGTTAATGATATTTTAGGCCATGTAATCATATTTTATTATTTAATGGAAATTATGATTCTTAAATTTTAAAATAAAAATGTTTAAAAAAAATATTCACTTACCTTTGATATTGAAATATCCTGAATTCACTCACAAATCACAATATTCCACAAGAAACTTATATAATCCTCACTATTCTTCAAGAAATAACACACTTTCTGATACAGTAATCCAAGAATTTCTTAAGCTTTTACTAAAGAACAAAGTTTGTACTTACCTCAAGCAAATGACTTAGAACTTATTTTAATTTCTATCAACAGCCAAAGTTGATACATGTTGATTTGTGAAACAAGATTACTAATTTTTTGGTCATATTCTAATGGGACTAAAATACATACATAGAAAATGGTAAAATAAAAAGTATAATTGTCAATTTTATATAAATGAATCAAATAATCCCTGTATTATTTGTTTATACTGATAAAAGTTAAACAATTCCACAGAAAATTTGAAATTAATATCTAAAGAATATTATTATTATTATGAAATTAGGGAAATTTTAAACATTTATATTTAAAAAATATTAATTAATTAATACAAGTAAGTGACGAGTCAGCATATTTTATTCATTTTAATAAGGAAAATGATCAAGATTAAAAATATTTTTTTGCGGAATATTAACAAAAACTAAAATTGTATTTTTTGGCTTTATTTAGAAGAACTCATATTAAACTGTGTTCCCTCAAAATATCATATTTTTGTCTCATTTTATAACAAAGTTATAGGCATACAAACAATAGCAATATGAGGGTGACGAAATGTGGAGGAAAATCCCATAGTGAAAAAGGGGTTTTGAGGTCCTTACTAAAAAATTCATAACTTTTGAACCACTTGAGCTAGAAAGTTGATCTTGGTGTTTTTGTAAACCATTATATGTGCTCTATACAGCTGTATTATTTTTATATTTTTAAAAATGTTTTGAAATTTTAATCAAAGTGTCTACTAACAATACTCAATTTAATTATACTATTAATAATTAAATTAATATAAAAATACAAATTCAAATATTATTATTATTATTATTGGTGTTTTTATATAGAGCGGTACCCCAGCCTTATGTAAAAACCCAAGGCTGGTGTAAAAATTGATTGCTAAAATCAATAACCATTTGCTGAAAAAAACGTAAGGTGTGAAAGTCTTACCGAAACAAACCGGAACTTAGGCTATAACCGAACCTGAACTTAAGCTATTACCAAACTTAAATAGTTATTGAATGGAACCCGAACTTCTAAAAGAGGGCGGATTTGGTTCCATATCTTTATTAGTACCTATAGACTTAAAATTTTAACCGTCTTAGTAAAGTAATTGTATAGGCTCCTGCACGGCAAGTGCTTCTGGAACTTTTGAGTGTAAGGGACCAGCTGATATTATCCATTAATTAAAACAGGGACTGGGTGGTGCCCATTTATTAAGTCTTCCTATGCCTTAAGAAAATTTAATGATGCCATATTGATATTTCATTACTATAGTTTATGTTTATTTCTCTACTTCTAGATGGAATAGTTTCTTATTGAGGATTATATCCATTCTGTACAACACAAAAATGTCTAGCAGCAAACGACCGGCTGAGGAGCCAGCCAGTTCAGCTTCTGGGGCTCCAGCTAACAAAAAAATGGCAATTCCTTATGATAGTCTGCAGTTGGGGAAAATTTATTCTCTTGTCAGCTCTTCACTGGTAAGTTATCCAAATTAATTTTTTTCCATCACTTAAATTTTCATGCTGAGGGTACAGCTATAGGTTACTTTTTTGTATATTTCATCTGTAGGGTAGGCATTAAAATATCATCATACTTATAGTTAACTCTTTCACATAATACTAAAGATTTCTTTAAACAGTCATTGGCATGTTGGCACAATTTGTATTTATTTTTCCAATGTTTAGACTTAAATCTTGCCTCTGAATATAAATACCCAATCAGTAAACGGAATAATCAAACTGCCAATTATTATTTTTGAGTATATAATAAAGCAATCAATATCAGTTAATTAGATTTTCATTTACTTCTTGTAGTATTTTTGTAGGGCTTTTTGAATATTGCCTTCTCTGCCAATAATGACTATTTTAGCTATTATTTTTCAGTTAAAGTATGCTATAATTGATACAACTCGCTAAAATATGGTTAACTGTATCATTTGCAACTGGGAATCAAAGACGTACAACATCTTCAACATTAAATAGTTCTCAGAGAGCATTAAATTTTTCTGAGCTGTAGCACTTTAAAGGTCATGTTTGTTATTTGTATTAATAATAAAAATTGTTAGAGACTTTGAAATCATTTTCAGCTGAATTTTGAAAGTAGTTGATCATTACAGCCCCTCAGCATTTTCAAAATTAAATAAGAGGCTAGTCTGCACAGCAGTTTGGATTCATTAAAAAAATGTGATTTCTTTATAATTTGTTATGTAGGAAGAGCTAGATATGAAAGTGCTAGTCTTTCAAAACAAGAAACTAGCAGAGCGAATAGAGCAACGTAAAAAAGCAGAGACAGAGCTGAGAAAGCGTATCGAACAGCTTGAAAATCGCCAACGGACAGACGATGCTGTACTTATGATAGTCAACAGATATTGGAATCAGGTAACAAAGTGAAGAGCAAACTTAATGAAATTAATTGTAGTAAAGTTATATTAACTCCCTAATTACCATTGTTCCTGTTAAGATCTTACTTCAGTTTTCCTTTTTTATGCTTCAAACTTTACGGCAATTGTTTATATTTCTGGCACCGTTTTCTTTTATTTCATGACACTCGCATAGCCATGCTTGGTTCATATGTAAGATCAATAACCAACGTTGAATTGAAGTAATGATGATTCTTTATTATTTGTAGCAACTGACAGTTTACAGAAACGTTGTTCACTAAAAAATCTTCACGACGCTACCTCTTGTCATGTCACTTTCATCTCTACTGCCTAACTTGTTTGCACCTTCAAAGACAACAATCACTTCGCATACTCACAAAACTGAACTCCATGAACGAACCCCAATCACAACTTGCTCAAAAAAAACCTCTCACCAACTCACAATCAACAACTTCCACTTCCATAACCAAAAATTCATGCTCACAAATCCAGTTCATAACAGTTCCATAGTTACAATTGTATAAATTACATTGGTTTCCTTGAATTCAACTTTTAACAATTAGGTAACTTGGCTCTTAAGCTTTTTTAAAAAATTTTTACTGCTAGTGTATACAAAGCACTGCAATTATCTGCCAACTTTGCTAATCAGTGCAACCCTAGCCAGCTGCTATTTAATTCAGTCAAAAGGCAATAAAAGTATAGTTGTATTGCAATGGCTATTGTTTTATAAGTTAATTATTCATTTTAATGAAATCTGTTCTTATCTCCACAGCTGGATGAAGATGTTCGTGTTCTGCTTCAAAGATTTGATGCAGAGACTTCAGATGAGACAGAGACCAAGAGTAAGTAATCACTTTCTGCATTGGATCTTTGTTTAATTTTAAAGAATATATGGTACCTAAAGGTTTTGATAATAAACACTTTTTAATATCTTATTGTATTAAAAAAACATTAAAATATCTTCTTTATTTTCCGTCAATTTAATTAATTTTAAATTATTATTTGCATGTCTTTCCTGTCAACCAATTTATTATATTACCATTCTGCATAACAGTCAAAGAAGTTTTCTTCGTTTTCATAATAAATGGGAATGTTCCCAAAAACTTTTAAAACATTCATATTCTGATGCTGAGTCAAAATAAAGTTACTGTTTACATTGTGTTAAGGATATTACATTTTTTTATAAGGAATGTATGTTAAGAGATTTACTCAAATATATTGTTGTATTTTCCCTCAACTTGTACATATATTTTATTAATTAGATGAAAGTAGTGAGCTGACGTCGTTCTTAACTCTACTGTCTACTTGGGACAAGCAAGAGTTGGAGGAAAAACTGGGTCAACGAGTGGAGTTCTCAAAAAGAGCCATTGGAAAACTGCTTCAGGCCTTTGACAGAATGCTTCAAAGAAATGAAAAATTGCATCATGCAATTGATGATAAAGTAATTATTCACTGGCCACTTATCTGATTATATAATTTTCATGGCAAAAGTTTAGGCGAAACATGTGAAGGTGTCGGAGCTGGGAGCATAATAAAGAGATTGATTCATAATCATACTTAACATATTTTTTAAATGTTGCCTGAACACAAAATGATGTAGAGGACTTAGTCTTGAAACCATTCACACTTGATCAGCCATTGAATTGGCAAGATTTCCTATAAAATCACAAGTTGATGTTATGCTGGATTAGATTTGGATGACTTAAATTAATATTGCAGTCTGAAAATGATATATATCCACAAAGCTAATATCTTAGTCTTGATTTTGACATCCATTGAAAAAAAATTAAAAGCTAAATAGAAATATAAAACATAGTCTACATATAAAATGAAAGTGTTAAATTAATTTCACTGGCAAAAGGATTGAAAAGAGATTGTCAAAATTTTCCCTTTTCCGATAAAATACTAACTTTTATCAAACTAACTCACTTTTAAATTATTGAATAAAGATGCATGTTAACTCTTAATGTGTGGTTTCCTTTTACAAAGATGTTTTATATCATTTCATACATGTATAAAATTTAAGATTCAATTATAAACAGAACAAAATAAAGGCTTTATTTCACAAAGTTAATAATAGGCACTCTGCCCTAACATACCTGGTTTGAAAGCCCATATGTAGACACACAGTAGATAAAGAGTTAAAGAAATTAAACAGTCTTTGAGTATCATTGTTTTGCTTGTTTTAATTTTTATTCCTCCGACCTATTTCAGTATTTAAGAACATAATTTCATCATTTAATATTTAATATTTTGGGATTCCATTTTCAATGACACATATTTTCATGTCTTTATAAAAAAATAAATAAATAAACTTTTATGTTTAGGTTGAACAGAAAGAGAAGGATTCTTTACTTGAAGATTCACATAAAATGGAAGAAGACAAAGATGATAAAGAAGAAAAGAAAGATGAAGGTAATGAAGATGAAGAAGAAAGAGAAAAAAAGAAGGAAGGTAAATTCTGGATGATTTTTTAAAACCTAAAATCTGTAGCGTACCGCCATTTGTCATAGTTTTCATTGGGGTACTGTTGATTTCTGTTTCACCCTGACCGGTTTTGGGAGCTGTTTTTTTTTTCTCTCTTAAAATTTGGTGTTTTTAAATTTTTTTTTTAGAACCCTTCTAATTTCAAGACTGCAATTTGATGTATTTTAGAGTCTGTGTATTTGCTTGTTTATTTTATAGCTTAGTGCTAGATTTTTAAAGGGTTTTTGTTTTGCACTTTTATCAACTCGGTAACACTCACTGTTTCACATTAATAGATGTGTTTTATTCACAGTTCAATGTGAATATTAGCAGTTTAAATTAGATTTTAAAAAATAAATTTCTTTTACTTTCATCTGTAATTTTCACTTCAGCTTCTGTCACATTGAAATAAAGCGGTCTTCATGGCCCACTTCATTTCTTGAACAATTGCATAATAAAAAAACCCACAAAGTAATATTTTATTGTTGCTATTATTATCAATATCACTATGGCATTTTTTTTAAAGGATCAAATATTTTTAATAAAAGCAGTCTGTTTAATAGAATTTTTTTGTGGATTGAAAGAAACCCTATTTGTTTGAATATCATTATCAGTTTTCTCACATGTTTGTTACATGGTGTCACATGTGCCATAGATGTTAGTAGCTTTATAAAGTAATACCATATCAAGAAAATTCAACCTTTCATAAATAACATTTCATGTTTAGATAAAATAGTAATGTTTTTTTTTTTTAAAGTTAAAGAGTAAAGGGTTACATGCTGTAATATTTTTCAAAGCAGAATGAAAGTTTAAATTGGGGAATCGTTTAAGTAGCACTTTTAATAATCAAAATGATTTGATCTATGAGCAATGTGTGATTGTGTGTAGGAAAGAGGTTAATTAAGCCATCAAAAGTGTTACTTGTTGTATCTATTTTTCTATGCACATTGTTGCACATCTTGTATTTAATCACAAGACCACCACACTGGAATCGGAGTAATATTTAGATGACTAAAATGTGCCCTTTTCTATTTTTACTATAGTAGTTTTTGTTGGTGGCCCAACCAAGTGCTAGTTGGATGTAGATGAGCTCTCTATATGTCCTGCTTTTGTGTCTGTTGGAAAACCTGCTGTGCTAGAGCGTAAATTTAATTTAACCTGGTGCATCCAGGTTTTCCCAAGGTGCCCTTATGTCAAATTCTAACAAGTGAACTTCACAGTGCCTCTATGAGTAAGCCAAGGCACTGTGGCACACAGTTTGAGAACCTCTGGCAAACAAGATAACTTTAATGATAATATTTGGAAAATGAGAAGTGTCAATTGTAAAAAAAAACAGAACAAAAGTAAACAAAAACATGGGAACATTTTTTTCTCTTTCAGAATGACTTACAGTCATATTAATTATATTAAAAACTAATGTCTTGGTCATCTATAGATTTAGATTTATTATGTTAAACTATCAAGTAGAGGGTAGCAACATCCAGATCTTAATTATTTCATATATTTAAGCAATCTTTTTTTTTTCCATCACCTCTGCTTTTGGTATTGATGTTACCTTATTTGTTGTAATACTTAGTGTTTTAACTTAAGTTATATTCAAATCAATTAAACATCCTAAATTTATTTTAACTAAAAATCAATAAGTTTCAAGATATCTCTCAGCTTTTTTTGTTTCTTTTTTTACCCAAAAATATAATACATCTTATTACACATAGGCTTGAAATGAGATAAAAGTTGAAAAGTTGTTTGCATAATATATTAATATTAAGTTGAAATATTTAGTCTAAAGACATAAACGTTGATTAAATATTCTTCTAGATAACCATTAAAAATATTTGTATGCAGTTATTTCATATCGAATTAATTGTTTTTTTAAGGCGAGGAGAGTGAGGACAAATCTGCAAAGCCCGATGAGGAAGCTTCAGAGACCAAGAAAGAGGAAGAAAAAGAGGAAAAGCAGCCTGAGCCGAGCCTGTCTGAAGTTGTCAAGGGAGAACTCTCTGACCTGAGGAAAGAGACGAAACAGCTCCATAATCTTGTGACCCAGCTCCATCAACGTCATCATGAGCATACTCTAAGTGTGAGATTTTACCGTTATCAATAATCGTGTGTGTCAACGGTGCCTTTAAAAGTTTTAACATTTGCAACAGTATTTAAAAACCTCTAAAATCTAAATTCATAGTTCTTTTATCGTTCCATCCATCCATGTGGAGCTACAACCCATGTGGGGCTTTGGCTTGCCTCACCATATCCTTCCACTTGACCGACCTAACTGATGTTTTTCTTTTCCGTGTTTAGATTTCCAGCTGCTGTAGACCCCTCTCCACATCATCCATCCAGCTAAGCCTGAGTCTGTCTTTGAGCCGTTTTCCACTAGGGTTTTTGTGGTGCACCTTCTTTACTCCTCTGTCATTTGGCATTCTTTCTAAGTGTCCAGCACAGCGAAGCCTGCCATTTTTTTAAATTTCTGCTACAAGTGTGGGATCTTGATATATTTACTATACAATTCCTGGTTGGTTTGTATTCTCCATCCATATGCATCCTTTCTTGGTCTATATATTTTCCTGACAAATTTTCTCTCCCATTGTTTAATAGATTTTTTGTTGGGTCCAAGTTTCGCTTGCATATGTTACAAATGGTCTGATTACAGTTTTATATAAAGTTTTCTTTATTTTTCTTTTTTTTTTTTTATACTTTTGAGTAGTTTCTGACTACTAAAGTATTTCCTTTAGCTCAGTTTTTTCCAATTTCCTTTTTTTTTTCCCTACAAATTTTCTTGGCTTTCCTTCTGGCTTCTTTGTAGATTTGTCTCATATTTCTGGTTTCCTTTTGGTTTCCCTTTGTATTATGGTCATTCGTGTCTTGTTCCTTTCTTTGACAGTCTCTCTACATTCACTATTGTAACACGACTACTCTGACATGGCGTGGGAGCTTATTTCTTATGCTGTGGGTTATGTCAGTAGTATGGTTACCTATGTTATGTTGATATTTCAGGATGCCGACTAAGGCTTCTTCATTCTTCCACTTATAATCCGGGCACGCAAATAAGAATATTGAATCCTGGTTAAACTTACAGTACTTTATTGAACACACTTTATATTGATAATATTAATAAATAATCCTTGCATGAATGTAATTTCACATATATATCTATAGTATTCCATCATTATGAAAGACACGTATCTAATCACACAGCTCTCACGCTACTGTTCTCTACTGCTCTGCGCTCAGCTCTCACTATCTCAGTCAACTCATACTTCATTACCAGCAAAGCGTGGAAAACAACCGCTCTGACAAAAACATAATTTTACTCTCCAAAAACGTGGAGTTCACATTTGCATCTCAAAATACAATCCATTGATTGTCTCTCCCCGTGGAAAAAACATGGTCAACACAATTCACTGTTTACTCATGCTACCTCTCTGTTTTCATGTGAAAACATGGTCCGTTACATGCCCCACCCATCTGAAAAAATTTTGTGCAACAAAATTTTTGGCAAAAAATTATATGCTGAGATAATGATAATGTCTCTTAGAAATTTTTAATCCCACATCTAACAATCAAATCAGTGTCACAACATTAACATTTCATCATAATGAAATACAGGGCATTTGACTGTTAATATCACACATAATAGTGAATAATTTACCCTGGCAAAAAATTACAAAATCACCAATGACAACCTCTTAAAATCTTTATGTATGATAATGTGAAGTGACATTAACATCTTAATGAATAATAAACACTGCAAAATGAATGTAACAACCTTAAATTTTGCATTAGAAGATTTACAATTGGTTAAAATCTGATATTCATTTACAAAATTGATATGTACAAGTGTCTTATCAAAAAACTGAGTGAACGTATGTGTGTATATTCATTTAGAATGTCTGACTAATGTGTCTTAAGTCAGTGTCTTTGTCATTGTCTGCATGTTCAATGTGTCTGGAAAGGAAATCAGCTACTGTATTGTCTTTTCCTTTTATTGTCCTTATCTCATACTGATAATCTAATAGTATCAACGACCATCTGTTTATTTTACTGTTTGCTATTTTCTTTCTATTCAGTGCCATTAATGGCTTGTGATCAGTCAATAATGTAAATTTTCTGCCTAATAGATATTTCTGTAGTTTGGTAAGTGCCCACACAATTGCTAAGCATTCTTTTTCAATGGTTGAGTAGTTAATTTCAGTTCTGCTTAGTGCTCTACTTAAATAGGTAATTGGTCTTAATTTATGATTGTATTCTTGCATAAGGCAAGCTCCTAATCCAATGTTGGAGGCGTCTGTAACTAGAGTGAAAGACTGTTTAAAATTGGGTGATAACAATATGTTGTCACTTTGGAAAATTTCTTTGATTGTTCTCAGTGTATTTTCGCATTCATCCGTCCATACTATTTGTTTCTTGCTATCTTTATTTATTAGTTTCCTTAAGGGTAGTGTAACATCAGAAAATTTTGGAACAAAAGTGCTGTAAAAATTGCACAAACCTAAAATGGCTTTTACTTCTTTCTGAGTGTGTGGTGTTTTTATATTTAGTATTTTTCCTCTGTTGTGTTCTGTGGGCTGAATTGTGTTCTTACCGACTTTAAATCCTAAAAATTCAATGTCCTCTTGTGCAAACTTTAATTTGTTTGGTGCTATTGTAACTCCATGTGCTCTTAATTTGTTTAGTACTGTTTTTATAGTCTCTATATGTGTCTTCATATCCTTAGTGTGAATGCAGATATCATCGACAAAATGTACTACATTTGGTATGCCTTCTAACATGATTCGCATGAATCGAGAAAATGTTGCGGTGGAATTAACTAGACCAAATGGCATTACTGTCCATTCGAACAAGCCTTCCTCTGTGGCAAATGCAGTCAAAGGCATGGAATCCGGATGCATGCCTATTTGCCAGAATCCTCTGTTTAAATCTAAGTGGGTGAATAATGTGGAGGAGCCTATTTCTTCCAGTAGTTCTCTGGTGTCCCTCATGGGTTCTGCATCTAATTGTGTGATTTTATTTAACTCCCTATAGTCACAACATATACGGCACTGGCCATTTTTCTTTTTTACTACTACCATGGGTGATGCTATTGGTGAATCTGATCTTTTAATCTTGTTAGTCTGTATTAAATGATTTAGTTCTTTCTTTACTTCTTCCCTAAATGCATATGGAATTGGATAGATTTTGTGTTTGAATGTGGGTTCCTGTGTTAATATTATCTTGTGTTCTAAACTGCTAGTGTGTCCTATGTTCTCTGTGATGACATCTTTGTATTCTTTTAGAATTGTTGTTAAGTGTCTGTTTGTTGTGGTGTTATTTTCATTGTCTTCTAATTGTATAACACTAGCAACGGTGGCTGTGCTACTTATTTCATTACTGATGGTTTCTAACTCTTCAGGAACAGAGTCATATTTTCTGAGCAAGTCCACATGTAGGACTTTCAATTCACCCTTCATGTGAATTACATAATCAACTAAATTTAACTTGTCATGAATTGTAAACGGACCCTGCCAAATCTTTTGTCCATTATTGTTTGGCAACCATACCAAAACTTTATCATGTACTTTAAGATCTCTGAGGTATCTATGTGTATTCTTTATATGTCTTTGTCTTTTAGACTCCCTATCAGTGTTTTCTTTAGCATTTTCTATGCCATATGTAATCCTCTCTCTAATTTTTGTAATTATGTCAAATGTGTCTTGTTGTGTGCCTTTCTGGCCTAAAATATTTTCTTTAAAAAGAGTTAACGGTCCCTTTGGATTGGCCCCAAACATTAGCTCAAATGGAGAGTACCCAGTGGTGTCTTGTATACTCTCTCTATAGGCGAATAAAACCATGGGTATATATAGGTGCCATTCTCTAGGGTGGTCTATTGTTGTTTTATTTAACATTGTTTTTAGTGTTTTGTTCCATCGTTCTACCATACCATTAGCCTGTGGTCTATATATTGTGGAATGTACTTGTATTATACCTAGCATTTTTGTAACTGCATTGGTTAAGTTGGAAGTAAACTGTGTTCCATTATCTGACAATATTTTATCAGGGAATCCATGTCTTGTAAATACATCTAATAATGCCATGCAAATTGTTTCTGAATTAATGTTTTTGAGGGGAATTGCCTCTGGCCATCTAGATGCCATATCAATCATGGTTAAAATAAATTTGTGTCCCTTATTTGATGGTGGATTAAGAGGACCAATGATATCTATAGCTACCTTCTCAAAGTTTCTACCTATTTTGTCTGTGGGTTGTATGGGTGCTCTGTGTTTACTGTGTATTGGGTTTTTTGTCAGACATGGTATGCATTTGTTTATGTGTTTCTTTATGTCCTTGTGTATGCCTGGCCAATAAAAATTCTGTGTGACCCTTTCTAATGTTTTTTTTATACCCATGTGTCCAGCCAAAGGACTGTCATGTGCATGGTTGAGTATTTTGTTTCTGAGTATTAATGGTACTATTATTTGAGATTTTTTGATTTCACCTTTCTCAAAATTTCTGATTAGAATATTATGTTTTATTGTGTAATTATGTCCTCTATAAATTGTGTTATTGTCCTTAATTTTGTTTCTAATGTCCTGAATTTGCCTATCTTCTGTCTGCATTCTAATTATGTCCTCTCTAGATATTTGTTTTGGAATGTCTAATTTTTCTTCTATTTCAGGCTGTGTCTGACTAGTTTTATGTTGTTGTCTTGTTATTGCACTTATATACTCTTTGGTTAAATTTTTTGATTCAATCCAATTTAAGAATAGTTCTTGGGAATTATCTGGAATTTCTTTAATATTTCCAATTATTAACTGACATACTGGGTTGTCCATAAGTACTGCCGTTACCTTTCCTGTCAACCATGGACAGTCTATGTCCACTACTGCTTTATAACATTCAACTTTTGTGTTATTTGCTAACATGACTGTGGTTTTTTCAGATATATGGTCTTTAGGATCAATCAATTTTTTGTCAACTACTATTGTTGTACAACCTGTGTCTCTTAGACACTGAACAAGCTGGTTGTTTACATAAGAAGGAAAAAATTGTAAACTTCCTTCACTGTGACATGCGCTAGCTAAAGTTTCATGTGGTTTGGTGTTTTGTCTACTGTTAGTCTGATTGGAATTATATCTTTGATTTTTATATGGTTGTCTACTCCTATTTGCACTGTTGTATCTAATTGGACTACTGTTGGGTGATGTTCTCTGATAGTATTGTTGTGAATGTCCTAAATCTCTATGTAATTTCCTACACTCATATTTTTTGTGACCTGGAATGCCACAGTAGAAACATTTGTTGTTGTTTGAATAATTAGTATATGGTGTCTGGTAATTGGTTTGATGACTTTTCTGAAATTTATTGTTTTGCCATCTGGCAGGTAGGCTATGGTATCTTCTGTTTTGATATGTGTTTTGTTTTTGACTGTCCCTATCACTGGGTGTGTTTCTAATAGAAGCTAGTGTGCTGTTTCTATTATCTAGCTCTTCATTGGGGTGAGCATCTTTAAATGTTGTGATTGAGTCAACTAAATCACGTTCATTTTTAATTTTTCTCTCTTTAAGGAAAGAAAATAAAGAGACTGATGCATTTCTTAATATTTTGTCTATAATAAACATATCTAGTAATGCCTTTGGATCATTTAGGTCAATTTCAGTTAATTCAAGCCATTTGACAAGATTGTCTCTAATATTGAATATGGTGGTGTTAGGGTCTACTTCTCTCTCTAGTCTTATGTTATGGAAATTTTTTCTATAAATGTCTTCTGTGTTTCCATAAAACTTTAACAAAACTTTCTTTATATAGGTATAATTATTCTTTTGTTCTTCACTAAGTGAATTGATAATGCTTAGGCTTTTCCCTGATAATCTGCTCAATAAAATATTAGCCCAAGTCTCTTCTCTATAATTGTAAGACTGACATATGCCTTCAAATTGTGACAGATAACTAATAATTTCCTCTTTATGTTCATTAAATTCTCTAAATTTAGGTTTGTATGTACTATTGGTTTCTCTATTGCTTGTTGATGGTGTATGCTGTCCTGATTCTATTCTAGCTCTTTCTAGTTTTAGCTCTTCTATTTCCTTTTGTCCTTTTAAATTTAGTTCATCTATCTCTTTTTGTCCTTTTAATTTCATTTCCTGTTCTTTTAATTTCATTTCCTGTTCTTTTAATTTCATTTCTTCTATTTGTTTAAGTTCGCTTCTCTCTAACAGTCTAGCTTCTCGGTCTTTGTCTTTGTCTTGTCGGTCTTTGTCTTCTTTCTGTTTGTCCCTAATTTTGTCCATCTCCCGAGTTACGAAGTCGGCTACCTTATCCTGCTTTAAGCCAAGCTTCTCGGCTACTTCTAATAGTTCTAAGTACTCTGCCATTTTTATGTGTTTGAGTAACTAAAGTAATATATTGGTATGTATAAGTATGTTAGTTATTTCTTGATGAGTTATCAATTAAAATAGTTCACAATATTTCATATATCTACATGTTAATGAATGTATACACAAATGCAAGTTGATAAATGAATTATAAGTTATAAATAAGTGTAAGAAAAATTTAAAATAATTAAATTGTCTACTTCACAACATAAATACAGATATGTAGACGTTTACATGAATACAAATGAGACAACAAATACAAAAGTACTGTTTAGTTTATGGACCACAAGATAGTAGAAAATATGACAGTAGGTTGACAATATGTATAACAATGACAAGACAAATAGCACAAATATGACAAGATCTACTAAAAAACAACAGTTATGACAATGTACAAACTAGACTTCACAGCTAACACAAAATTATCCTACAGTGTTATAAATAGGGCCAGAAGAAACCTTTACTGTTTTAATAAAAAAACTTCCCTAGGAAAGATAACACCGTGGATATTCCTAAAGTATACTCTAAAATTAAACTTATAATATACAGAAAAAGTAAAAAATTTACTTAATCTAATTAAGTATTCTATAAGTAGATTTTTAAAGTGTTGAATTATATATAATACATAACACATAAATACATAAATACCAATTGTCCAAAAGAAATCTGTAGTTGGTCACCTCTGCTCCTCTGTGACGCTATGGTCTGCGTAGTCGATAATCCTTCTATGTAGAAGTGTACTTGGGTAAATATTCCAATGCAAAAGTTATATAATCCAATGAAAAAGTTACAACACAAACTGCTTCTGTAATCCAATGCAAGTACCTTGCGTAATAGAAGTAATAGTGTAATAATCCAATTGAAAATAGTGTACTTTCTCTCCGATTCAGTTGAACTTGCGAGTAATTAAAGAATTACTTTACTTGAAATGCGCACTAGGCTTTGTGCGGCTTGTATAAAGTGAAGATTATGCTGGGGAAATCTTACTTTCGATGTCTTGATACACACATCTCATCTGTAATAACGTCAGACTTCTACTTCTGTTGGTCTTGTAATATGTAGGCTTACAGTAAATCTTTGCTACAGTTGTAAATAACTTGAAAATTTTCCTTATGCTGCTAGTTGCCGTGTACCAGTTGGCTTTGAACTCTGAACTCTTGAGACTGTGACTGACCTCAATTGTCGGCTAGCTCTGTGTGTAGTGAACTCGTCTCGGACTTGATTGATACACGGTCGTAATGGCGTTCGCTGTATTCTTCCGCTCGAATTTTAAAATATATCGTTGTTACTCAATGTTCTGTAACACATTTCTGACACTTCTTTACAATATTTGTAACGCATCGTCGTTACACCGCTTCTGACACCATTTGTAACACACCTACTCTGACATGGCGTGGGAGCTTATTTCTTATGCTGTGGGTTATGTCAGTAGTATGGTTACTTATGTTATGTTGATATTTCAGGATGCCGACTAAGGCTTCTTCATTCTTCCACTTATAATCCGGGCACGCAAATAAGAATACTGAATCCTGGTTAAACTTACAGTACTTTATTGAACACACTTTATATTGATAATATTAATAAATAATCCTTGCATGAATGTAATTTCACATATATATCTATAGTATTCCATCATTAAGAAAGACACGTCCTCACACTACTGTCAACTCAGCTCAACTGTCTAATCACACAGCTCTCACGCTACTGTTCTCTACTGCTCTGCGCTCAGCTCTCACTATCTCAGTCAACTCATACTTCATTACCAGCAAAGCGTGGAAAACAACCGCTCTGACAAAAACATAATTTTACTCTCCAAAAACGTGGAGTTCACATTTGCATCTCAAAATACAATCCATTGATTGTCTCTCCCCGTGGAAAAAACATGGTCAACACAATTCACTGTTTACTCATGCTACCTCTCTGTTTTCATGTGAAAACATAGTCCGTTACAACTATCAAACCAGCCTCCTCTACTGTTACATTTCTGAAATCCTACTACTTTTTCTGCTGATTTTTTCGTAGTATTTTTTTTATCAAATCCCACTGTTCATTTATGTTGTCTTCCCTGTTTATTTTCTCCTGTGATGCTTCTAGTTGTGCTGCTATTTAATTTTTGTAAGCTTTTGCGGTTAGTGGGTCTTTGATAAGTTTTTGGTAATAGTTATGATCTCTCTTCAGGTTTGACGTTCCTTCTTCAAACCTTATTGTCGCGGTTTATGTTCTTGGCGCCATTGTCCTACTTTACTACATACACACGTGAACCATCCCTAGTTCATGCATAAGAGAATAAACAACATTCAATTGAAGTAATGGCAATCCTTTATTCTGTACAATAATAGGTGGTTGACAAAACTTTATTCATGACAACTTCCTCACGACCCTAACCTCCTGTTCTCAGACTACATTTCATCTTTCCCTTTTAACTACATTGAACCTCTATCGACAACGCTCACTCGGCACACTTTAAACTCAACACCATGAACTAACCCCTCAATGTAACCCTACTATCTGACTTGGCACATCTCGCCGCCGTCACAAAACCCTCTCACTATCAACAACTTTTCACACCAAACATTCACGCTCCTAAATCTGGTTCGGCACAGTTATCATATTGTTTTTCTCTTTGATTTCGGCCATTGTGAATTTGTCCTATTCTCTGCTTATATTCTCTGAAGCAAAGTCGATGAGTTGGATAACATTGTCATTGGATTCTACATGTAAACTCTTCTTTCTAATGGTTGGTTTAACACCTTTGATTTCTTTGATTTTGGCCATTGTGAATTTGTCCTATTCTCTGCTTATATTCTCTGAAGCAAAGTCTATGAGTTGGATCACATTGTCATTGGATTCTACATGTAAACTCTCCTTTCTAATGGTTGGTTTAACACCTTTTTCCCCTATTAATATCTTGTCATGGTGCCTCATAGATTTTTTCCAGTCTCATTTTATCTGACCTTTTGTATCTTTGGTCGGAACATGAAAATTTATAAATGCTATATTAAACATTCTCCCTTGCACTTGCAAAGTGAACCTATAACTGCACAGAGGGCTTCTTTCTTCACAGCAAATCCTGTTCTAGAGTATTAGTGTTGAAGTCTTTTTATTTTGCCATCAAATTTCTTGCAATGAAGAAATAGAGATGTAATATTTAATTAGCTGATTTATTAGGTTGAATAAGGCTCCTGCTCTTAGTATGTTCAAAGTTGCAATCCATAAATCATGTCCATATCCAGGCATTGGTAGATTTCCATTAAATTAGAAATCAATGCGGGTTTTATTTTGTTGCCTGGCTTTCGTAACCTTTTTTTTTTTATACATGGATGGGTTGTTGGCCCTGCGCACAACCATCTGGGGGGAGCTGCCCCTTACAGCTCTAAAGGTAACTGCCTTAATGTTTGGGTAATCTTCGTTAGCCTTTGTGGATCCCTCCACTTCTTACAAGGCAGTAGGTTCGCCCCAGATATTTTATTTCCCCAGTAACCACCATATCTGGTGGGCATTCCCCTCTGTAAGCTGGAGACATCAACTAAGAGTTGCATATATTTCACATATGTACTTATGTAAGACACCTATTGAAAAATAATTCACATCTATGAAATGAAATGAAACTTGGGCTTGGATAAATGTACCCTGTCCTGAACAAGTTTCACTTATTTCCTCACATAATTCCAAACAGTTGGTTTCTGAACTATATATTAGAATATGGGGGTGATGTGTTTAAAATAAAATATTAATAAAAGACATAAACTATCTGTGTGTAAAGGCAGCAAGAAGCTTTATTAAAGTATGGCTTACTAAAATAGGGGATCAGCCTTTTTGCTTACTCTTAAGAAAGTTGATGTCTTTAAGCTACAGGAGCTTCATCACAACCCCCAGTGCAACCACGTAGACATATAAGTTTAAACCTATTTATCAACTTTGCTAGATTTCTGAACTTCAAGACAAACTCACTGCATCTGAGACTGAAATAGCAGAGCTAAAAAACAAGCTCGATGACCTTGACTACATGTATGAGAAGTCTGAATACAAGACTGACAGTTTGGAGAGGAGGCTTGCAGAGGTCACTGAGAAACTTCAATTCTACCAAGAGACAACTGGGAACATGCCCTTGTCTGGTCTCAAAAACTTACCAGGTGTGCCAACAGGCAGGGTGAGTAAGCGTTCTGTTATATTTCTGGTAGTAAGAAATAGTGTTGGCCACTTGTTTGACATCTCCCATTGAATATTAAAAAAAAAAAAATTTTTTTAAGGACTCAGTGCTTTAGTTATAGATCTAAATTAAATAAATCATACCACTGGCAGTTATAAAGACAAAATGTAGTCGGATTGGGTAAAAAAAACAAACTATATTAATCTTTACCTCAAAAATTTGCACTACAAAGTTTTTAAACAAAAGATTTTTTAAAAAATGCATTAAGTTGAAATAAAAGTCTTTCACAAAAGTTGATAACTTTTAAATATTTATATCCTGTAACTGATATTTTGAAACTGACCCACTTATTTTCAAAAATGAATTGATGTTTTACTTTAAAAGTTTTAAAAATATTATTTAAGTTGGATGAAATTTTATCTGAACTGGAGGAACATAAAGAGTTATCAACAAACAGACTAATGGAGTTGGAGAAATTGAGTGCAGATTACCAAGAAACTCTCACAGAGGTGGAAAAATTAAAGATGGATGTGAGTTGCAGTATTTATGTATTTTTTAGTTAACACAATATCTTTCAAGTCAGCCAGGCTAAATTTACCTTTTATCTTGTGTATAGCCATAACACCTGTGGGGTTTAAAAAAAAAAAAATTTAATTCTGGGTGTTAATTGAAAAATATTTATGCCAAACATGAAATATTCATTTATTGGCTTGGTGGTGAGACATTTATTTTTTCTCCGTTAATCAAATCTAACTATACTGACTAATTTGTTCACAGCTTCAACACTTGCCAGAGAATGTCATATTAGAGACCACTGAATACAAGTGTCTACAGTCCCAGTTCTCTGTCTTGTACAATGAGAGTATGCAGATCAGGACACAGCTAGAGGACATCAGAAACCAGATGACCATCAACAAGAATAACCATGGGCGACAGATTGAACAAATGGAGGTAGCTCCCCAGAAAACACACATGCAGTAGATCAGTTAATTTAAAATAAATTAGTTATCTTTGAAATGATAGAATATGTGGTCCAAACTAAACAAATAATATTTCATATATTTCTTTGATAGAAATATGATAATCACAGCTGTATTATTATTAATTAAATGATTGATAAGACATTTTAGCACAAATCATCCACTGCAGATTGTCCTCAGTTTGATTGAAAAGTGTAGTCATTTGACCCGAATATTAAATTAATTTTCCAAAGAAATAACTATAACAGTCACATCTTTGGTAAATATTTGTGTTTGAAATGGGGAGCTCGGAGAATACTGTCATCTTATGTTATGACTAGTTTTATATTTTGGTTCATTGTCATATTTATTTGTGCATTCAGGAAGAAATTAATTTAAAACATTTGTCTAAAAATAGATTGATGAGTTGGAGGGTCAAAAGAGACTTAGAACAGAGATGATACAAGTTGAAGATAGTTTGGCTCAAACTAGAAAAGAATATGACATGTTAAGGATAGAGTTTGAGCAAGCCATGGCTGCCAATGATCAGAACTGTAAGTAATCAATGCGTGGGCGAAACTGGAAGATTTAAATTTAAGGTCTGTAAAATCAGTGCCTTATGATTTGTTTTTAAAAATGTTAACTCTATATCTGTCTTTTAAATAATTTTATTTTTAAAGACTTTGTATGACAACTGATGACTTTGGTGCCATTTGATGGAGGGGGGGGTGGTGTCACAGTTAATTAAGAATTATAATAATGTCTCTCTCACTGAAAAGACTACTTAATTTGTTTTGGAAATAAATTTTATCAAGTATTACCATTAACTAACATGAGAACCTGTAACAAAAATAAATTCAGGTTGAGAAATTGCACAACTTATGACCTTTTTTTTTTTTAAATAGTAACTATCAACAGAGAGATGCGTAACCTTATACAAAGCTTACAAAACCACAATCAACAATTAAAGATGGAGTCAGCCAGATATAAAAGGAGACTTCGTGAGGCTCAAGCTGAAATTCATAAGGTATTGCCAGTAATACCCTTGTGGCCCTCTGCACAAAAAATCTTGCCCACCTCTTGTTAAGAACAGCTCCAAAGTCAATTTTTTTCAAAGCTTTCATGCTTGTCTTTTGGGAAGCAGTGTTACAACATTTTCACAGGGTCAGTTAAGCTCTACAAAATGAGCACATGAACTTGAAAATGTGTGCTGATTTGTATTCTTCACTAGCAGATCACTTGCATGAATCTAGGAATGAATTTAAAAAAGATTTGAAGAAGCTGCAAAAGAAATAACACCAGGTGTGGATTATAAGATAACTTTGACCCATAATCGTAAACGAAAGACAGTGTCAATGATGGTGACGCCCCTGAGGTATCTCAGAATGCCAGAGACAAATTTCGTATATCTGCTTTCTACACCATTGTTGGCAAACTTGAGACAGAGATGAGTAGACGAAGACAGGTATATAATGATCTAGCAGTTCGATCTTCTTGTTTGGTCGATGTACCACAAACATCTCAGTGTTGTGAAGGACTAATAAATACTTATCCTGAAGATCTGAACAATAATTTATATACTGACCTACAACAATTCCACTCATATATTCGCCACAAGTTTCGTGCATCAAAATCTTAGAACAACACGTTCAGTCATGCACAACTCTACAAAGTAATAGTTTGAGACAACATCCAGTGTGCTTTTCCAAATGTAGAAATCGCATGCGCATATTTTAAACAATAATGGTTTTGAACTGTTCAACTGGGCGCTATTTTTCTCAGTTGAAACGTACAAAAAATCCAAGCAGATCGACATTGAAACAAGAAAGGCTTGATTCCTTATATTTGCTGATGATTGAGGCAGACTTGTTGCGCAAAATTAACTTTGATGATGTACTCAAAAACTTTGCTAGACGTAAATCTAGAAAAAAGAACTTTAAAATGTAAATGTATGCTCTCTCTGACTTTCTTATCTATCAAAAAGTTTCAGTATTTTTGTCTACTATTATTACAAAATTAATTAACTATTAATTTTAATACAGAAATACGTTATTGTAGGTTTATGAGTGATAGTAGTACAAACATATGTCTTTACATTTCACAACTGTTTTTCTTTGTTAGTTTTTTTCATAATACTGAAAACATACCAACAGTCAATGGAGGATCCGGGGCAGTAGGGGGCCCGCATGTGGGTTTGTGCCTAGGGCACCAAGATGGCTTAATCCGGCCCTGCCAGTGGTCCTCGGAACCTGGTTTTTTAATTTTATAATTTCAGCTGAATGGGAAAAAAAAATTCTTCTTGATGGAAGCAGGGATCATGTTACAAAATATAAATAAAAGACAAAAGTGATACATCCGATGTTAAATTGATATAAAAATATTGTATTGTTCATAATCCGACACCATAGACAAGAGCTTCCCAAACTTAGTTGCAACTACTCGCAGTTTCTTAACTAATGCTGTGCCAACTTGCATCATAGGGCTTGTAGACCAATGCTGGTCCACCTACCACTATTTGGGGAACGCTGCTCTAGAGTCAACTTTCTGAGAGTTAAATATTATTGATGACCTCATTTAGAGTCACGTTGTTAATCCTTAATTTCTTTCATGTCAATGCATAGATTATCCATTGTGAAAGTAACTCCAACCTCAAATGAACATTTTTCTCAATTGTCAGTTAAAGCAAGAGCTAGTGATAGTCAATCCTCCCACCTCCTCTGCCCCACCTGCTGCTACCGCCGCTGCAGCCACCACCACAACACCAGCATCAGCTGTTCCATCTACAACAACAACACCATCTTCGGCAACCTCACCGGCTGCAACAACGGCAGGCTCAACCCCTTCTGGTGACAACAAAGATAGTATTGCCCACATCAAGGAGGAGACACAGCTGTCACCAGTTAAAACAGAAGCAGGTGGGTAGAAATGGGGATCTGTGATGCAAATTTGACTTGCTATTGTTATTTGTTTCATTTATATGAGCATTTGAAAATGACATATTACAAGTTTTTAAATATATTGGATAAACATAGGGGGTGGGGGGTAAAAGATACAAATTCCAATTTATTTCTGAAAGTGCACTATGTGGTCAAAACATTTTCAAGATTGTTTTTGTTATATTGAAGAAGACACCAGTACTTAGAGATAACTAAACATGATGGAGTTGAGAAAGTTTATTTTTGTAGGATAATTGTGAAACCGTTGAATCTGTTGTGTTGTAATTATCCACTCATGGCGATGAGTGTCTACTCGTCTGGCCAAGTCTCTCACTTGATCCCACGAACAGTATAGCTAACATCAACAATTAATAATACAATCAACGTTAACAGGTTTGTAGCTAGATAGGAGTTTATTTAACACTACTCCATTAACTATGGTTGATGTAATATTTCAGAATTGATAATCAAATCACTCCAACCAAACACTACTCAATATAGAAATTCAAACAGTATATCCGCCATCAATCCTGCCATAACAATAACGAAAACTAACGCGTCATTTCCCCTTACACAATTACGTCACAACACTCTCACACAAATGATACAGCTACACATGAAATCTCTAACTAAATTATCTTTTCCCTATCAAACATGAAAACAATGATCTACACATAACAGTGATTCTCATGCCCTTGACAATAATTATTTAGATATGAGCATGTGGATTCATGAGAACCAGACCACTTCAGCTTTAACACAGTTTCTAGATACTAAGTAAACAAGGAATGTATGGTTTAAGTTCTATAACCTTTTTTTCTTCTTTTTTTTTTTTACACCATGGATTTAGGTTTCCCAGTAGCCACAACATTGCCTCTAGTCCAAGCCATCAAGAAGGAAGAAGGTGAGATCCCAACCACTCCTGTCAAGAAAGAAGAGGATGATGACCTTGACAGTAAAGATATTAAAAATGGCAAGAATGATTCTGAACTGGTCAAAGATTTGAGAAATCAACTCAAGTATGTATAATATACTTTACGACAATTTTTGTTTAGAACCTTTTTTTAGAAGTTGACAAAAAGGCATATACAATTTTTGTTATTGCAAAATGATTGTAAAATTAGTTAAATTTTTCTTTTCTTGATATTTTTTTTCACTGTCATCAATTGTTTATTATTGCCAAGTTTTTTAAAACAAAGTATTTGGTTAAAAAATGTTAAATAACTTTTTTTTTTATTCTAGAAAATCTCAAGATAATGTAAGGGAGTTGAAACTTCTGTTAGACACCTACAAAGCTGCACCAAAAGAACAGCGAGACAAAATTCAAGTAAGGACATCATTATTAGTGTTTGATTTAGAATGGCTTTGCAGTAGAATTACATTTGCTAGCATTTGAGGTTTCTATGAATTTATTAAAGTCATTTTATATTTAGAGCTTGAAACATTATTAGACAGATTGTATTATTATTTTTTTATTTGGAACTTGGGGAAGGGGGGGGGGGGGGGGGGGGGGGGTTTCCTGGATGGATGATGGCTGTCTGATACACCAATAGGGATTATATCCGCTTTCATTTTTAAAATGCCTTGCACACAGGCCTAACTGGTTTGTGGCACAGAATTTCCATTAGCACATTGCCATACAGACAATCATAACACATAAATTCTGAATTTTTTTGAATGAATGGAATCCAAAATGAAACTAGAACTTTTACAACATTTCCAGTTATGTCTACTGTCCATGCTTTACATAACCAAAATATAAATGAACAAGAACTTAGTAAAAAGTTACTCTCCCCTCAAACTTGTTAAAAACGTTGTGTGTGTTCTTGATCAGCTTATGGCAGCAGAGAAAAAGGCAAGGCAGGAAATAGATGAGTTGAAGGCACACATCAAACGCATGCAAGAGAGTGAGAAAAGGGACAGGAGGAAGCTGGCGGATGAAGATGCCATGAGGAAGATTAAAAAAATGGAAGAGACCATAATAGAGCTGCAAAAAAATCTGGCCAATCAAAAGCAGGTTGGACATGCACAGAGATTTTATAATTGCCCAGTTTTATCCACCCAAATTTCTTTGATGCAATTTTGTTACACAAGATTAATTTAATTTTTTGTTCTTCCCCTTTTAACTCTAGAAACCATTTATATAAGTTTTATAGTTTGGATTTCAATACAACCACCTGCCTAATTGCACAATAATATTTCTTTAATAGTTCTGATAAAAATAAATGTAAAAAAAAACAACAATTTTACTTAGCTAATCAGTTTTCATTGTAACTCTTTAATTTAAATGATAAACATGAAAGTCTCAAACAAGGATTGTTGTGTCAAAGCAGATGGGGAAAAGACAACTAAAAACCTACTTTTATTTTTGAATTGTTTTAGAGAGAAGAAGCATTGTTAAATGACCTTGATGTCACTGGTCAAGCTTTTGAAGATATGCAGGAGCAAAACACGAGGCTACTGCAGCAACTTAGAGAGAAGGATGATGCAAATTTTAAACTCATGTCAGAGGTGAGAAGGCAGATTTTTGGGGTGTAGCTTAGATATGAGTCTGACTGATGAAATATGTATAAGTTTAACACAGCTTCCTTAGCCAGGCAGGAAAGAGATGGTACTTAAAAATAAAGCTAAAAATTTAAATTTTGGATATCTTTGCTATAAAAAGTGGTGGTGTTAACCTTGTCTTAATAAGGAAGAACTTACCCTCTATTTATGATAATAATAAATGAGTGTTTGAAGAGTGTGGACCTTACAATGAACACAAAATGATGCGTGTACCACATCTCATAATAATGAAATACAACAATAAATTGAGTGTTAACATCTATATGCTTCCAATACAAACTGTTCATTCCAGAGGATTAAGTCTAATCAGATTCAGAAGCTGCTCAGAGAGGAGAAGGATGTTCTTACTGAACAGGTGGCGATACTCCAGAACCAGGTGGAGGCCCAGAATTCGGTGGTCCGCAGTCTGGAAGAGAAAGAGAGACTCCTGCAGAACAATTTGTCGACTGTGGAAAAAGAGCAGGCGTAAGGGGAAAGAAGTTGTCAAATTAATAATCTATAAAATTTTCTTCAAGTTTATATTTCCACTATGTAAATTAAATTAAGTTCGAGTTACAACTTGATTAGGCTTATGATAAGAGCATACTCAAAGGAACTTACTTGCAAATAGCTCTTATTGTAAGGAACTCAGTTAGCAAATATATAGCTGGTTATCCATGGCTAAACAGTGAATATAAAGCTACTTTAAATGAAAGAAAGTGACCTTACTATAATTGATGAAATTCAGAAAAAAATATCTCAGTTTAACCTAAATAATAATTGAATGTTAAAGTCAAACTCTTATAACAGCTGACGTATAATATGAATAAGTGTAAAAAAAAAAAAATGATGCCTCTTTGACTTTTTCCAGAATAACTCAACAAGCCATGGAGATGCACAAAAGAAAAGCAGTGGAGAGTTCCCAAACTGCGGCAGACCTCAAGCTTCATCTGGACAAATATCAGGCCCAGCTGAAGGAAGCCCAGGTGGCTGTGGCAGAGAAAACGGCTTCTTTGGAGCAGGAAGTCTTCAAGTATAAACGCATGCAGGTAAATGTCGGTTGTGGGATGGGGGCTATCTGGTAGTTGGGGGATTCTCACAAAAAAATCAGGGGCTCGGTAGGGGGAAAGAACTCTGCTATCTGTTGAAAATTGGGTTACACCTAAACCTAGGTAAATAGAAACTCATTTTTATCAATGACCCATGGAATGTGTGTGAAAACCAAATATATTAGAAACTTATTTTTAGTAATGACCGATGGGTTCTGTGTGATAATCAAATATATTAGAAACTCATTTTTAGCAATGACCCATTAGATCTCTGTGATAACCAATTGCTTGATGTCACTGTTGCTAATCTCATGAAGCTGACATCTCATGACCTGTTTTACAGGAGGAAGTGGCCAAACTGAATCGCAAGCTGGAGAGAAGCAAGAAGATTGAGATGGCTGGAGCAGCTGATGAAGTTTTGTTGGAAGAGATTAAAGAATATAAGGTATGTTGGCAATGCACGTATACCTATCTCTTGTTTAAACTGTTCAATCTACTTCCTCACTATTAAACAGCGTAGTATTTTATGCTGAATTTACATTTTAAAAATTAGAAAAATGATGGGTGGTTTGTGGGGTGTGTGGGAGGAAGCAATATAAAAATAAGGGTATCAGAAACCGCATTTGGAAACCATTACCATCAAATATAACTTTATACTTGTTTGTTATTCAATGCACAGGAACAACTGACGTGTCCATCTTGTAAGGTCAACAAAAAGGATGCGGTACTGACCAAATGTTTTCATGTGTTTTGCCTGGAATGTCTGAGGACACGTTATGAGACAAGACAGAGAAAGTGTCCCAAGTGCAATGCAGGTTTTGGTGCCAATGACTTCCACAGGCTGTACTTGTCCTAGTATCACGGATCATAGACACCGTGCACGTGTTAGCCAGGCCAATGACTTTCACAGGCTGTACTTGTCCTAGTATCAGGGACCATAGACGCCGTGCATGTGTTAGCCGGAGCTGCTAAATGATAAAAGCAGACTGTCCCCTGAGTTTAACTGTTTGGCTACAACTGACGTGTTCAGAGAGCACTTGTATCAAGTGTTTGTGAGATTATTTTTGCAGAATTATTTTGCATTTAGATAATGGTTCATTGACAAAATATGTCAAGAACAAGATGAGAAACTTTCCATGCTGCACATTTTTGTATGTTGTGTTGAAAGAATTTCGTACGCATGTAGGAGACTTCAAGCATTATTCCTGAGACCCCTTAATGAAAAAAAAACAACTGCGTTTGGAAAAAAAAACGTAGCCCTCTTTTTTTACCATTTGGTGAGCTTTGGGGTTTCAAGGAAAGTCTAGAGACCTATATAATAATTGTATCAGAATGTCATAATATATATGTACATGTAATATTAAATATGTATGATATGCTAAATCATTTTTAAAAACCCAGCACTAGCTAAGCCAGTGGTCGGCAACCTGTGTTCCGGAGCAACGTGGCTACTGTTGAAGGAAGAGATTTGGCTATTAAAAAAAATATGTTATAACATGCCGCTTTCCAAAAAGAAATGTTCTTAAGCTGATGTAATTTATTAAAATGGCTCCTTACTCCAAAACAGGGTGCCAACCACAGGGTTAAGCTAATACAAATCTGAGTTTAGAGGGAACAATTTAAAGTACATAAGTATTAAATGCAGTCAATCTTCATGTAGAGCAGATGGTGTAAATGAAGACCAAGAAGAGTGAAGTTCTTGTTAGTTTGATTCATGGAATTTGATGGGATGGGACTGACACTGGCCTATTTAACGGGCCTCAGAGGGTAAGCCAAGTTGTACTCTTGACCAATGCTTAAATAAAAATCATTAAAGTTGCCTAAATGCCTGTCCACTTTGACCAATTGGCCAGGCCTAATTTTGGAGAGCAAACCCTGACAAATAATGCCCTGAATTAAACTACTTTTTTTTGTGTTAAGCTGTGGTTTGGTGGCTATCAAGACAGAGGTCAGTCGTACGAAGCTGTGGTTTGGTGGCTATCAAGATAGAGGTCCTACGCTAAAAATTGGTGTTAAAACTGAAATGTTTAAGTCAATAAGCTCGTCGATTTGATCCCATTTGCTATGGTTTTGAAGGCTCGAGTTTTACTGGAGTTGGGGGGGAGGGAGGGGGGGGCACACTGAAACTTGATTATGTTAATTTGATTGTCAATGTTGATTTTTGTGTTTTCACCTGCTACAGCCTTGAACTTGAACCAAGAAAGTTTCATTAGTGTGTAATAAATGTACTGGTATTTATGGGTTTGGTATACTGGACTAGACAGACAGAGAGAGAGAGAGAGATCATTCAACTGACATTTGATCCTATGATATTTATAAGCTGCTTTGTTGGTGTCCTACTCATTGGCTCAGTTGTTTGCTTTAGATGGAATAACTCATTCTGTTCACACCCAAGTTATTTCCTCAATAGATTTTCTCAATGTTACTTCTGTATCATACTGTACATAAGAAGTTAACCTTATGGTTTTTTATAATAATCTTTTAGAAATTGAAGTGTGTGCCCACTTGTGAAATTTGTATGGACCAATATATACTGGATGTATGTACATAAATTGTAAGGATCATCACTGGGCAGATGTATGTACATGAATTATCAAGACCATTATATGTGGGATGTATGTAACATGAAGTACCTGTTATTGTAGTATATTTGTAAATATAATTGCTTTAAGTTGAAGGATGGTATGAGAGTCCTAACTTTGTGTAGGTTCAAGCATTGAAAGATGGTATGAGAGTCCTAACTTTGTGTAGGTTCAAGCATTGAAGGATGGTATGAGAGTCCTAACTTTGTGTAGGTTCAAGCATTGAAGGGTGGTAGGAGAGTCCTAACTTTGTGTAGGTTCAAGCACTGAAGGATGGTATGAGAGTTCTAACTTTGTGCAGGTTCAAGCATTGAAGGATGGTGTGAGAGTCCTAACTTTGTGTTGGTTCAAGCATTGAAGGATGGTATGAGAGTCCTAACTTTGTGCAGGTTCAAGCATTGAAGAATGGTATGAGAGTCCTAACTTTGTGTAGGTTCAAGCATTGAAAGATGGTATGAGAGTCCTAACTTTGTGTAGGTTCAAACATTGAAAGATTGTATGAGAGTCCTAACTTTGTGTAGGTTCAAGTATTTAAAGATGGTATGAGAGTCCTAACTTTGTGTAGGTTCAAACATTGAAGGATGAGAAATAACACAAATGTCATGTTTTTTTCCCCCATTGTACATTGAGTTATTAAATGATTATTTATACAAGTCTGGTGGTAAAATCTTTATATGTGGAAACAGGGCGTGTTACATGAATGACTGCTAAGTGATGGAATTTATAGAGATTGAATGTTTAGAGATTATCAGCATTCAATCTCAGCATTCATATAGTTTGTCTTCTCAGTGCCTGAGTTGAACATATTTACATCTCCTGGAGCACTATGTTCAAAATGGACATTATTTGGTTTTCAAGCTTGGAGATCTCATAAACAGTCAACACAATTAAGCTTTAGCAACTGACACTTTTTAGCTTATTTCCTTATTTGTTCAACGTATGTTTCAATATATTTCAATATGTACATGTACTTGGATTCATTTGATTTTTTTTTCTTGTTAAATAAAATAATAAATGTTTGTAAAAAAATGACACCATTAAATAATTTGTTCCAAAGAAAAAGATTTGTTTGGCTTGCAAAAGTTGTTGACTGCTTTCATTGTTTAAGTCATGTCACCTCAAAGAGTCGTGTAAAATCAATTCCTGTTTAAATTGTAATTGTTTCGCAATGAATTCCTAACTGTATTTTTAAAAAAAAATGTTTGAAGGAATTCCTTTTGCAATAATGTATACAATTAGAGAAATTTCAAAAGTTGTATAGAAAGTTTCATCAATTTTCCTCTTTTTTTTAAAAATAAAAATTAATGCAATGTTAATAAAAAAAAAATAAATTTCATGGTTATTATTTGATGGTTTAATATTTGGCAGTATTTAATACAGGATTAAAAAGTCAAAATTTCTTCAAGTCAAAATTTGTTACAAGAAATACAATGCCAGGTAAATGTGGAAAAAAAAAACGACTTCTGTTGGTAGCTTGGTAATTGAATTTTTTGCATACTTAAAATATGACTTTTAGATGACAAAATGTGGCTAATTACTGGTCGGGTTGAAGGTAGTGACTAATTTTAGGAGGGGTTGGGGGTGTTAAAGAATGCCCACTGTCAAAAGTTTCAACAACTGGCGGAATTGAAAACATTTTTTGGCGTGTACAAAACTAAAATTTGATTTCTAAATACAATTAATGGAATACAGCTTTGTACATTATTATCTTGACAGTCACTTTGAAAATTCTCAGACATTAAAAAGAAAACCGGGCTCTGTGAGAATTTTAAATGCCTTCAGGCTGATCCTTATGAATGACCCTTGGTCAGAGTTCAATGATCCATTTCTCATCTTGTTTCTGAGTTCAATGATCAATATCTCATCTTGTTTCTTCGTTCAATCACCCATAAAATCTCATCTTGTTTCTGAGTTCAATCATCCATAATATCTCATCTTGTTTCAGAGTTCAATTAACCATAATATCTCATCTTGTTTTTGAGTTCAATCATCCATAATATCTCATCTTGTTTCTGAGTTGAATCATCCATAATATCTCATCTTGTTTCTGAGTTCAATCATCCATGATATCTCATCTGCTGTCTTGAGTTCAATGATCATAATATCTCATCGTGTTTCTGAGTTCAATCATCCATCCTATTTCTATCACGACTCACCTTTGGTTTGTTTGCCGTAACCCCTCTAATTGCTCTATCATATTCCATCCTTTGGTTTAAGTTCAGTAACCCTCTCGTATCTCTATCGTGTTGTGCATCAAACGTGAATTCGATACCCCAATGACGTCGTGCCCTATATCGAACCAGGCAAGAACCACCACCTGGTCTACGGATGAAGAAAAAAAAAAAGGGGGGGGGGGGAGAGAGAATGGCGAGCGGCTTCTTCGCACTTGGGTCACCGCTTCGTGTCAGGAAATAAACTCGTTAAGACATTCGTGCAAGAAAACGATTTGTGTACCAGGATAATTCAGGGCGCCTGGGCATCGATCTGATTGTTCTTGTGTTTATCGCAGATTTTGTGACAAGGTAAATTGTGCTGTGCCTTGTGCTAGTGGATGTTTGTTTTCTTTTTAAAAAGTGTTTACATGAAAGGAACGAAAGAATGAATCACGTTACAGGTAGATGGCATGAGATTTTACGGACACTGATGCCGTGACGCTGATGGTCAACACATTTGTTGGTGTGTTGACTTCTCGTCGGGGGCAGTCAAATGTCAATACACTATAGTCTCGCTTCAGATATACATGCATAGTCTTTGTTCGCGTGGCTGAAATATGCGTCAAATTCATCGTCAACAGGGATGCGTCAAACAAGGAATACAGTATAGACATCTCAAAGTAGTGACGTCACTAAGCTAACACCAGTGATAGAATTTCAACACAGCCGGACTTAGCATTTAAAAGCAAAAAGGCTGATGCTTCAACTTCAATAGATAATGCTAATTGCATAGACAGTGAGTGATACTTGAATAGTTACAAATGTAGTCAGTGATACTTTAATACTATTTAATCAATAGACCAAGGCACTTCAATAGACTGAGTTACTTCTAAGCTCTATAGACATATTTCTGTAACAGTAATAATGCCTTGGACAGTGATATTTCTGTAGACAGTTATAAGTCTATAGACAGTGATATTTCTGTAGACTATGATAATTGTACTGTCAGTGATACTTTTATAGACAACAATACCTTTATGGGAGAGTAGCATTGTAGCCAGGTCGATCTTGTGTTAGAGCAAACCAACGTTGCTCAACATTCATTTTGAGTTTTTATTTTTGAAACTCGGTAATTAGACTGTTGAGTGCATCACTGAAGAAAAGGGATTAACAACAATCTTGATTGTTCCATGCAAGCCCCTAGTTGTAGGCATTAGCCCCATTAACACAAGGCAGACTTCGGTGTAGACCAGGGGTGGCCAACATTTTCAGTCAGCAAACGGGCCTAATTTCAGAAATAATATTTCCTAACGGGGAATTAAATTAATTGTCAATTAAAGTAAACGGCAAAGCGCGCCACATCGTCCCTTCCCTGTAGGTCAGATCGTGGTCAAACGCTCGCCTGGTTTAATGTACAGCATTGACCACATCGTCGCTTCCCTGTAGGTGGGATCGTGGTCAAACGCTTGCCTGATCTTAACGTCAAAAAGAAAAACAACAAGAAATATGTCTATTTATTTGTTTGAAGAAAATAAAACACAACTGAGAACCAAACATATCTATTAGACAATGGAAACAATTTTAAAAGTGAGACATCTGACTTTGTTTTGCAGAACTAACTAACACACATATTCTGGTGAAGGTCTGAGATTACTCTCTTATGACCCCGGCTAGTAAATTGGCTATCAACTCCGTCTGTTGAGCTGAGCCATACAGCATTTTCCTGACAAAGGGTCCTCCAACCACCCTGGCTTCCCCCGGGAGATCTAGTGAGGGACATTCGGTCAACAGGTGCGCTAGTGTCTCCGGGGCCAGGCTGCAATGCCGGAAGGTAGGATCCCTGTAGTTATCCAGCCGCCAGAAATATGTGCCGATTGGGCAGTGCTCGGTGCACATCTGCGTCACTAAGCTTTGCTTGTCTGCGGCCTAACCCCGACCATGGGTCTTGTTTGCTAGGAGTGGTCAAGTTTGAAAAGACGCCTCTGGCGATCGTGTTGTCTGCCCATTGCCTGTACCACTTCGTTCTGAAATGGTCCGCCAGCCAGGTTTTAATTCTCAAGTAAGTTATTGGTACCTCTGGCTGAGGCTGGGCAGCCCCGGTTTTCGCCAGAGTGTCCGCTCTCTCATTGCCACCGACGTTGACGTGCCCGGGTATCCACTGTATTGCCACATTGCCCCATTGCTCATCGATTTTGCACACGTCATCAATGATGACGTCGACCAAGTGGGTGGTACCCTGCCTATTTCCCAAGATCTGTAGACGACTACATCGAGCCCCGCATGCTCCGCTCCCTTCAATGTTTCATGTACTCTCTCCAAGGCCCTGTGTATAGCCATAAGCTCCGCATCGAAGTTTGATGCTGCA